CATACTTACAAAATATTTGCGATTGACATTACGTAAAAAATACCTAACGCGAACTTCCTAAGCTCAATAACTGAATTATATTACTGCATCCACAAAGAAGTTTTTTTCGAATCATAATTATATAATGCTCAACTATATAGGATGGACAATGTATAGTTGGAAACAATTCATGACTTTTGATGGATTTGTAAAATTGCGCAACAATACAATTTTGTGTGGAAGTGAACGGGATCGTATATTTCATTCTAATAAAAGTGTTTCTTAGAGTGTTAGTGTTCTTATAGAAAGTTTTAGTCTTGTATGTTTTCAATATCCGTTGTAATTGTTTTGTCATATCTTGATGTTGAGGTAAAACCACAGTACAGATCCAAGGTCTTTCATTAAGATTGTTATTTACAGACGGATAGTTTTGTTTTGATATATTTTTAATAATATCCTTAGGAAAACTATTAGAACGTAGGATGTTTATTATACTCTCTTTTTCTTTTACTTTGTCTTCCTCTAACGTAATGATCCTGGTTGCTCTTCTAAAGAGATTCAGAGTTAGGAGAATTTTCACACTGAATGGATGTACAAAGTTAAAATCAATATGCCTAATTGAATGTGTCGGTTTTTGATATATGGTTAGATTTAGACTATCATTAGGATTCCATTTAACTAAGCAATCTCAGAAAGGTAGTTCACTAGTGTTCATCTTCCTTTTCAAAAGTGAATTTGATGTATTCTGAGAGCGGGATTACTACTACATAGACTTTCATTCGGTTATTTATTCACTTCAAATAGACTGAAGTATCAATAAAAACTGGGTAAATTTTAAGAGGATCGAAATTCGCCAAAGTGAATTATGAACCTGACATTTGTAATTTTATGCATCACTAGACAAAGATCTATGTATTAGAGTTTATTTAAAATACATGCACACATGAAATATTTCACAAGACTAGGCGATCTTCAGCCAGGTGGTATCGATTGATTTATTACGATCAATGGAGCTAATTAGTATTATATATATTCAGTTCTCGTTTGGTTTCGCTTTCTAAAACGTAAACAGTTTGGATTCGGGAAGCCAATTGTAAGTAAATTATGAATTCAATTAGCTTAGCTACAACAGCATTCTCATAAACCAACTATTTCATCACTTTGAATTCTTGCTTTTATGAAAAACATTATGATATAATTAGGCGTTGCTCATAACAGATTAGTGATTGTATCTTTTCTCGTTATAGCGATTTCCACATGGGCCCCAGACATTGCACAAACCTCGAATCCCATCGGATCTACCGATTCACGTGTTGCTCTGAAGAAAACTGTTTAGAGGTGAACCAAACAGTAAGTAAAAAGGACTAGAAGCAGTCATCGAAAAAACATATTACGTTGCTAAACTGGCAGTGATTAAAAGAACTTTGCCCATGATTTTACGCAGATCCAAACACTGCTCAAACGATTACATTACATCCCATTGCATCTACCAATCCACATATTCGTGTGGACACATATACGTGGAGAGGAGTAACCGAAAAACCCAATCAATGGTTATAGAACATGTACCTAGATGACTTTACAACCAATTAGTACCGGATGCTTCAATAAAAGTAGGAAGTAGAAAACCCTGTTCATCGATAGCAAACCATATAATTGAGACAGAGCATAGAACCGACATCAATACAGCCTTTTAAATGTTGTATAGAAATTGTCAAAGACTAACTCTTAGGTTCATAGAAGCCTTGACTATTCGCAAGTTCAAGGCCCCCTTATGTTTGCACAAACAATATACCGTAAGCTTGAAATTTCCTTGGTAATCCTCAAGTCATTCTATACTCCGGAATAGTGCGACCATTTCCTATTCCATTCATATTACGTTAATCTTCTCTCGCTTTGTTTACAATTGTCGTTTTGTTTACTTGAACTTTCACTTAATTAGACCAGTTCGATACTCAGGTTTATGAAAATAATTTGGACTTTTAATCAGATTTCATAAATCTTCAAAACACTAATTAAAACTAATCTACACACTTTTAAGAGTCATTGTTGTATTTGTAATTAGTTTAAATGAATTTCTTTCCTCCATATCAATAATTAAGTACTCAGCTTTGACAGACGAAAATCCAGAATTGTTAAAATAGACTGAAATCTGTCCTCTCCTAGTTAAAGATTCATCATATTTGAAATATTCAGCTTGTTGAATCAAAGATATTTAAGTTTCACAACTTGTTGAAAAATCACTACATCAGCTCTAACTGTACTTATGATGTTACTGAACTATTAGCAAACTATCCATACTTCCCACCTTGATCGAATCAATTTTCTGTATTCGAACATTTTATTGAGAACTCCATAATTTATGAATGATATTATGAGATAGATAGATATATGAGATAGATTAATTGCAAGTACGTTATATTTTTATTTAGTTTGATTTTGAAATCACACTGTATTCATCTGTTTCATTCTATAGTCAAGACAAATTGAGACCCAGACAAATCGAACAAATCATGAGATTATTTGTTTTTATTATCGCCTCAGTTAATTCTTTCATCAATCTTTATTCAATTTGAGAAAATAATATTGATTGATGTGGTTCAGAAGAACGATGAAAGCTCCATGACCAAACTGCCCAGCTCAGAGAACAAAACTCCATCAAAATTATCCACCTGAGCTACGAATCTTCTCCACCATCTCGAAAAAGAAATAGGAAACAGTAAAAATTGGTAAATTAACTAAAACTGTAAAGAAAGGAGGGTAGCTGAGGCGTTCCATATCATGCTTAATCCTATTTCTCTCAATAGAAAAGAAGGCCTTACCATACATCCTACTTGGACCATCTATCCTAACCATTCAGTCTGGTCGTATTTACAATTTCACACTACCATATTACAAGTTCAAACTCTATCCTTTCTTACAATAAAGGTCACACAAGTTTTCATTTTTAAACACACATACATACACACACAAATTTACATACATATCACTTATGAATCACCTTGACAGTAATGACATGATATCAACTTGTTCAGACCTGTTTTCGATTGATCCAATATTATTCTTGCATTGTTCCGTTGTACTATTTAAACTTGGACTAATTTTAATTTGGTTATTTATTCTCTGAAGAAGTGGCTTACACTAAGTCACGAAACGTCAGAAAATCTAATTTTCTACTCATTGGGATATTACAAGTATATTATTTTTATTTAAAACTGTAAACCTTTATTTTTATAGCAAATGAAAAACATCATTTTTTCGTCAGACCACTTAATAAGGACAACTAAATTTAGTATTTCACTTAACTTGTTAGTTCATTTTTCAAAGATTGTCGGAATTTCAAGCAACAAATTCCGGTTTCTAAATGTTCTCTGATCACTGTTGACTTAATTGTAGTACCGATTTATAACTATGCACTTGTTTTTATGACTAACAACTCATTCAATTCTAATCTCTTCAAATTTTTAGCTATTCTGAGAAAATATTCATCACTGATAACTATAGGGAATAATTCAGTCAATTAAACCTGTAGAATATGAAGACGTGCTAATTATTTGCTATTCCTTTTATATTATAAATTATTGAAAATCATAATACATTGGATAGTTATCTCACTTTAATTTGAAATATCTCATTAGTGAGCACGCTAAATCACATCAGGGATCTGAAACAAGTTTATTTAGATCAATCAATAAACAAAAGGCTTCTTGTTTTTAATCGTCTTCATAACTAATGTCAGTACGTGAAGAAACCCAACATTAACTGATGAGTCGTGTAAGTTGAACGCTATATACGATTCCTAAGCTATTCCGATAACCCGCAGTCTAGAACTACACAGCGACTTGAACTCCAGAGAGAAGACACAAGAATGAGAGAAAGCACTTTATTCCAAGGTTCATTTTTGTACAGAAAATCATGGGTATTTATATATTTTGGCGTCTATTAAATCAACATCATTTTACAGCCAATCCGATAACAACACATTATGCTACCGACCAATAGTAGCACGCCACGTTGGAATTCTAGAACGTTCCATCACACTCTGATTGGCTAGGACTCTTCGGCTCCTTTTGTGCCTCTGGAGGCTCCGTTGAAGTTCTCCGGAAGCCGACCCAACATTAACTTAGATAGTCTACTTTAATATTCTAATCATTAATTAGTAATTGTCTGAATACAATAAAACAATGAGGGTAATGATATATAAAATGGGGACTAGAGTTTTATTATCTTCAAATACCCAAAGTTCGTATGACCATCTTTATTTCATTAATAATAATAATAATAATTCTCGCTTGTTAAATAATACTTCTCCATATTGTTGTATTTATAATACTTTTAATATTAGAAGGGGTTTTCGTGGATATTATAGTAATTTAATAGTTGAGATTATGAGTCAATTGAAGTTAGACCACCATTAAAAACTTAGAAGCAGTGGATGGCCGTTTCATCCTAGTATGGGACTTCTCACCAATGAGCATTCACGATTCCACACACTGGACTTTAACTCAGTAACTTTGGTCTCATGTGCGAAAGCTTAACCTCTAGACCACTGAGCCAGTATCTAATGATATTAATTTATCATGATTGTTATTCAGTTATTATTATTATTATGATGATGATCTTTACGTTTTTCATACATTCTCCATACCTATAAATGATATTTAATTGAATAAATTTATTTAATTAAATGATTGGTTTAATTCTTTCAATGTTTACACATTGTATTAACCAATCATAAATGAGGACAATAATTAACTCATATAAAACTAAGATTGTGTAAATATAATATCAATTTACATTTTCATTATGATTGATTGATTTAACAAAGAAAAAAAAATTTTTCTTCAAAAAAACAGTATGTCGAAATAAATTATTTTCTTTTTTTATCAAAAAAAAGGAGAAAAATAAAGAACAAAAATAAGACTTTTTCAGAGAACAAGAAAAAAAAGAAAAGAAAATTTTTTTAGTTCTTTTTGTTGTTGTAGTTTTCATGTTTAGATTAATCATTCAATGATCAAATCATGCCATGTATACAAAATAATTCAAATGAATTTCTTATTGAAGAAATTATCATGTTAAATTTTCGTGGTTATATTATACCAATATTTATTATATTTGGTATAATTGGAAGTAGTTTTGTTATAAATAGTTTTTATTCTATGCAAAAATTACAACCATCAAGATTTAATATTTATATTATATGGATTACAATATTTCAAATTGTGGATTTAATAACTAATACATTTTTAGATGATTTTCTTGGACGTGGTTTAACATGGGCAAGTGATTGTAAAATATTTATTAAATTAGATACTGTATCATCATTCTCTTGTAAAATAATGAATTATATACCATATACAGCTGTATTAATATCAAATACATTATTAGTTATATTTAGTATAGATCGTTTATTAACTACGTATAAACCCATTAAATTTCGTGGTGATATTTATTTATTATTACCACGTTTATTTATTATCATTATAATATGTATATCAATGTTATTATATTTACCACAATTAATTTATTCTGATTTAACAATTCATGATAATACTTCATTAATTGTTAATTATACATGTCAATATGTGAATTCATTATATTTTGGTGTACAATATAGTTTATATTTATCAACAATAGGTGGATATATGATACCAACTATATTAATAGCTATAATAAATATTATAATTATTTTACGTTTACGTTATTTAATAAAAAATAGACAATTATTAAATAGTAAACATAATTCTATTATACATAAGAAAATCTCTATTGATAATACTATTATTACTACTACTACTAATAATAATAATAATGGTAATAATAATAGTAATAGTAATAGTAATAATAATACTTTAAATGATCGAAAATATTCATTATCAAATCAATTAATACAGAATCCAAATAAACAATTAACAAATGAATATCATAATGAAATGAGAAGAATTATTGGACATTTAATGGTTACATCTATTTTTTTATTATTTTCTATACCATTAATTGTTATTATTATATTAAGACAAAAATCAGATTTTCATAATTATCATATCATTTATCCAATTTATGTAAAACGTTTAATTCATTTATCAAGATTATTTAGTTCACTTACATCTATTATATGTTCATTTAATTTTTTTATATTTTTAATATTTTTACCAAATTTTCGTCATATGGTTTATTTATCTATTTTTTCATTACCATTTATTAAAACAACAAAATATTCTATTAAACATATTGAACAAATTGAAATTAAATTATCTAATCGTTTAAGAACACGTTTTAGACGATCAATTGAATCAAAATTATTACAAACTACAATGTTACAAAAAACACGTACTAAATCAATAGTTAATTAATTCAAGATAATAATAGAAAGAAAGAAAAAGAGACAAAAAGAAAAAAAAGCGAAAAAAATAAAAGAAGAAAAAACGGAAAAAAAGAAAAAAAAACGAAAAGAACTTTAACAAACGGATATTATTTTCCTTGCCTATTTTAATTCCAGTTTATAATAATAACTACTGAATCATAAATGAAAAAAACAAGTCCATCTAAAGTGCAATAGAGGAAGCAATATGTTGTTTGTGTTTTTCCAATGATTGTTAGCTGATTTTTTTTATGCAATTGTATTTTATTAAATGACTTTTATATTGAATATATAAATAAAAATATTTTGCAAATTTTACAAACAAATAATTGATTTTATAACAAAGATTAGGTCAATTTGACAATATTGATAATCGGAAGGGGGTTTTGTGGAGATTGTAGTAATTTCAACGGTTGAGATCATGAGATCGTGCTGAGGAGTCCCAAAATAGAACGAAACAGCCTTCCAGTACTTCCAGGTTTTCCATAGTGGTCTAGTTTCAATTGACTCATGATCTCAACTGTTGAAATTACTACAATCTCCATAAAAACTCCTTCTGATACTAATCAACATATGTTCACTAGTGACTAACTTCAAGATATATATCCTCGAGTTCTTGTGAGATGCAGTGATAAGTGGAGTTCAACCGAGTTTGTTGTGAGGTAGTAAGTCACTGAAGACAATGGTGGATGTATCGCTCAATTTCGTGGATTAGTCGAAGTTAGACATTATCACCGTTGGATACCAGCCGGCTCAGTGGTCTACTTAGTTAAGCGCCTGGCGCGAGACTGATACGTCCTGGGTTCAAATTTCGTGAGGTGAGGTCGTGGATGCGCACTGCTGAATAGTCCCACAATAGAACGAAACGGCCGTCCAGCGCTTCCAGGTTTTCAATTGTGGTCTAGCTTCAATTGACTCATGATATAAACTGTTGAAATATTGATAATCATATGTACACTTTGAAATGGATAGTTACTAAAAAAGAATAGTAATATATTAAGAAATGAATAATGTTACTCTCAAATGTTAGCTAATGATTGAAAATCAATACAGTTTAAGATATTTTGATAGGTTTTAACTGTGATTATTTTAACAGTTAATCATTAAGCTAAAATCGAAAGATTAATTCTTTTAGTAAGCGTATTATAGTAGATCCCTGGGCATAGATTTATTGAGTCTACTATTTTGGTGAGTCATTAATTCTTAGCTTGTTAAGTTACTCTTCATTTTTGTAATATACGTTAAGATGATGTAAATCGATGAGGATTTCTTTCAAGTTCTAGTATGTCTAAAAGCAAGTGATTGACTCATTCGTTGAGTGCGGAAACTAGTTTATGTTGTTGCAAAACAGATGAAAAGTGTCAAGATGATATCGTGTTCATAGTAAACCCTAATAAATCATTATTGAGGCACCTTACATTTATTTTTCGTCTAATCAATGGAAGGAGGATTTCAGTGGCTTTTCCGAGTGATCCGAACTACAAATCATATTGGATAAACTATTCTAGACATATTACTTGTATCCACATCCAGTTAACTTATTACAATTTATATACGATAAGAATTTCGTCCTGAAAAATATCTGGTATTCAAAGTTGACACCTGGTAAGATTACTTTCCTTACTTCAAGATATGATTTGGTTATGACATCATAGAATCAATTAACTTGTCAATATGGAGTTATGAAAGCTGGCCTATCAGTCATGACAAAATGTGAGAAATTTTACTGACTAAAACGAATAATTATTACTGATTAGTCGAACTTTTAGTAAAAGAAAATTATGCTATAACCTAAACACAAGAAATCGTTTAAAAGACGTTAGGTTGCTTCATAACCTAAAAACTACTCGGTTTTTTTAAGAGAATGAACCAAGTTTTTCTTCCATCATATTCTTGGACTTCTGAGTAACCTGAGTATATGAAATCAAACTTTTTTCCAGGAAAAGCCCTTCTTTTGAAAATCCATTCAGAAATTTAAAACAATTATTCATTTATAACATTTAAATTATCATTATTGTCAAAATGATATAAATTATACCTTAATGTGAAAGTATCAATCATCTGTCTTTATTCAATAAACAGATTTAACAAAATGTCAATGGTGATTGTTTACATATACAAAGTGATATGACAAAATTTACAATTGATGAAAATTCATACTATCAATGGGTTTATTCACTTCATAGCTAGTTAACAACAGATTAAAATAAGATGCTTGACAACGTTTGTAGTTGTAATTCATCGTTTACATCAGAAATTATCTAGTTTTCATGTTTGTATAATAAAATCTACACATTGTTAACATAAGTGATTGTTGACATATGAAGATAAAGAGAGAAAGAGAGAGGGAGATACCTATTAGTAGTATATCGACTAAAAGTCGTTGATTTACTTTTGTAATTCACAAATTATCAATATTCCTACTGACACACAGTTACTTCAGGGATTTCAAAAAAACGATATGATTAAACGTAGGTTTTTATGAGGATTTTTTAGAAGTTGGTAATCATACTTTATTTTTCATTCTGTTGTGTTGTAATTACATATTTGCATGGAAATAGATTTTACATTGGAAGTTATCAACTGTCATGTTCATATAGTTTGATTTAAAAAAACTTAGTTATTAGATTATCTGAATTCAATAAGGTACATAGAGCCTTCCCCCTTTGTATTTCTATAACTTCAATTTCTCCAGTCAAAATACTATCATTATCTTGATATCTTACCATCATTAAGACTAATAATTTCGTGAATAATTTAGTTAGCAGTCACCCAACGTTACTATTTCTTATTTTGAAATAAACATTTGATCTTATGTGTAATTACATTGTCTTGTTAGTCATATTTATTCTATTTATTAATTGGATACCTTCATTAGCCACTCACGAATCTATTTCTGTGTAACTCAAAACACTTTCCATATTAGTTTAAAAAATTCTAGTACTTAATAAATCATCATTTTTACTAAACTGTACCATCATAAACTGGTTTACTTCTTGTTATCTCATTGATTAATTGCACAGAACTTGACATTAGTCAATAAAACAAATTCTTATAATTCCTCAATAAAAATTAAATTACACATACCAATGAAATACTTACATAAAAATGGAAATAGTGAATAATTATTGCCGATAGTCTGAATTCGAAATTTTGTCTCACAAACGTGATGTTACGCTTTTATTGATCAACCTACTTAATTGATAAAGAGTTTGGTGAAGAGCGCTGGTGGGTGGCCTATGCTCCTTCACGAGGTGTAACAGGAGTAAGGAAGTGAGTAAGCACTGAATAAACTTTCGAATATGTAATAAGAGATGACCTGTTATTTATTGATTTATTCTTTGTTTATTATCCTGGAGTTCTAGTGAGAAGTAGTGACCAGTGGAGTTGTACCAGGTCTGTTGTGAGATAGTAACTCACTGAAGACAATGATGGATGTGTCGCTCAATTTCATAGATTAGTTGAAGTTAGACATTAACTCCGTTGGATGCCGGTTCAGTGGTCTAGTGGTTAAGTGCTCGCGTGCGAAACCAGTAGGTCCTGGGTTCGAACCCCGTGAGGTGAGGTCGTGGATGCGCACTGCTGAGGAGTCCCACGGCCATTCAGTGCTTCCAGGTTTTCCATAGTGGTCTAGCTTCAACTGACTCATGATCTTAACCATTGAAATTACTATAATATCCACAAAACCCATCTGATATTATTGTTTAAAACGAACTATTTGGGATCATTTTCAGTCGGTGTTTTTTTTTCAATCGCATATATCGACAAATGCAAATAAACTACTTTTTTTCAAAATTTTTGTTTCATTTTTGTATTGGCCCACTAATAACTATTATAAAATGTTTATTTGACCTGATCATAAATTATATAGAATAATGGATAACCTAAAATCAACTAAATAATCATCTTATCTTCACTTATCCAATGTGACCAGTTGTTATTGTTTTTGTTGTTTTTATGTGAAACTAATTAATCATTCAACAAGGAATTATTGTCATTATACAAAATCATTTCATACATATTAACGAAAGTCTGTTTATTCAAATGACTATCAAAAACTTACAAGGAAATGTAGTATTTTCCACAACATTCCATGATATATATATTATGGGCCAAAGCCACCAGTCAGAAGCAGCGAATTATCGATCGGATCAATGACGCGCAAACCCATATGAGCAGCTTAGAGTTTTGATTGGCCCTGCTTTCCGCCTAGCCCAGTCAGTTGAATTCAGAACACCAGTCTCAGCCTCTGCAATATAAATCATTATATTTCAAATATGCTGAGTTTATATACCAATCAAACAAACCACATCGTACCAATAAAATAAGTAACAACATTTATACAAGAATTAGCCAGATGTGGCTGTGAATGAGAGAGGTAGTAATTAATATACTGGGTATAACTCTAGAATGGTAAAACGTATAATAATAGTTTAGGGGTCAAAATAAAGCTTATAATAAGGGAAATATGCGTTTAGTATTGATCCATCAATAGATCTCAAAAGTTACCATTCATTATTCTTGTCGGGACATAACAATATATTTGTAAAACCACAATAAAAAAAATTATTTGATATGAAATACTTCTTAACTTTATTAGTGGCTAAATGGACATCACCTTAAGTAGATAATTTTTTTAAGTATCAATACATGAATGTAATATAATATAGATTATAAATATTAATATATTTCAGTTAATAACACCACATTTCGTTATTCAACAGAAAGTAGTTTACTCTCTTAAAAGTTTAGTTTTTATTTATTTAAATGACATTGATCAATGTACTATGAAATTCAGGTTGAAACTATGTTGAAACGAAAAATAAATCATATTGTGAAATTACTCCATATACAGTCACAAACGAAATTCACAGTCATGGTTTAAGGAATATACGTAAAAAGATAGTTTACACAAAAAGAATGCAGTCTTTTCATTAATAATAATGTCATTAAAGATCAGTCAGTTGAAATGCATCTTAAGGAAACATTTCA